ACAACATATTGAATAACTTTTTTTTTATATTGAAATAATAATATCCATTATTTTATTTTATATTTATTATTTTATAATTAGAAATACAACAAAAAGTAATAATATAGTATATTTATTATTCTCTTTTGTATATATGTACATTTTAAAATTATTTATAATACTTAAATTAAAAAGTTATTTTAAATTTATATTAATATTCACTGAAATCTTACTTTTTTACTAATATGTTTTTTGTTAATGTATGCATCATCAATCATCGATTTCATCAAACTCTTCATTTTCTCAATTTTTTGATATTTGAGATCCAGAAGCTTCTGTAACTGATTTTTGATTTGTGGATGAATATTTTGCAGTTTTATGAACTTGAATGAGCAGATCTTAATTTTTCGTAACTTCTTCATAGAATTGTTGCATGGTTTATTTTCCAAATTTGTCTTAATAACTAAAGAAGCTTCTACACTTTTGATACATAAATTACCTCGTGACTTTATCCAACAACTATTCATTAATGAAAATATTCTCTCCACTGTGGTGTTAGATCCAGGCAATGCAAATGCAAATTCTACAAATTTAATAACATAGTATAATCAACATTATTCTTTGTAAATGATTTAAAAATCAACAGCCATTTTTTTTTAGATGTTTTGCATTCATCGGTTTGTTTTCTTAAGTTGTTCAAACATTTTAAATTGTTCATAGAGTTCTTCTTCGTTTAAAGTTATTTTAAAATTTAATTTAAAAAAAGAAATAGACGGTGTTATATTGGACCAATTTATTTCATCTTTTTTGACAAACAAACCCACGTTAATGAATTTAATTCTGGTATGTGTTGGTTTGAAGCAGTCCAATCTTTTATATAATTTATGCATAAGTCATAAAATTTAGTAACTCTGATTTAATTATGTCACTACTTTCTTCTAGATGAACAAGTAATGGCTCGTGTCACTTGGTAAAAAAGATCATCTCTTTTGTTTTTTTAATTTTTCAGTTAATTTTTCCATGATTAAAAAAGTTTCACCGCGCAAAGCTTTTGATTTTCAATTATTTTAATGTAAATGTTAATAGTTTTCAATTAACTTTGTTAGGAGTTAAGCCACAAAATAGAAGTTTCGTCTTCAAAAAATGTTTTTAAAATATTTGGACAGTTATTTTGAGATAAAAAAAAGATTTAAGTGCACTAAACATTACTATTTTTCTTTCAATTGCCGGATATAACGATAACCATCTTGTTTTGGAGTGTGATAATATTTCTTTACACTGAACATCAACAAACGAACAGAATTATTTTAATGTTTCAACACGTTCTGTATAAATATGGAAGTACCTATCCAAATATTTTACAAACTACCTATTATTTCAATATCAATAGGAAGGCTATCCGCAGCATACTAAAATACTGTTATGTATAACGTGTGCACAGCAACCTAATCCCAAAATATGCTTTAATGTATTTTTTAATTTTAAAAATACATTATTTTTGTCCTTTCTTGCAATTCCGCCAAAATGTGTGTTAGTGTTATCACCTGAGAAATTTATTATTTTTTCTTCGAGTTCAAATTTTTTCAAAACACTTACAATTTTATTGTGAATTAATTCGGCTGTTTCTCCAGGTAGGTTTGAAAAATCCAAATTATCATTTTTAATTCCATTTTCTGGATTAAAGTATCTTACAATTACAAGTACTAATTTCACAGACTTATGATTTGAGGCACCAACAAGCACAGAAATATAATTAGTTTTTTTAACCCTTCAATAGTATTCTTCATAGCGAAGGTAGCTAAAATACTATTAAATCACGTGTTTTTGTTTTAGCACCAGTAAATTTTTTTTCATTATATATTTGACGAATAAGACTTGCTGTACAAGTCATAGAAGTAAAGCTGTGGTTGTGCATAACAGTATGAAAATTAAAGTTTACTTCTTTGGCCGCTAATTTCAATTATTCGTCGTTAGCTTTTAATGGTGAACAAAAAATTATTTACTTTGCTAGATGTCAATGCAGCCTTTAATGCCATTTTATGTTTATTAGATTTCATATGATAAGTTATATCACTTTTCCCACCATGGCTAGCTGAAAATGTACTCAAGCTTACAGTACATTGCAGTCATTGCACATCAAAATTATTGTTGGTTTTTTTTTTACCTTTTTATTGAATGGAAGAAATTTGTTTCGGAGTTTGTTAGTGAAGCGGCATAATCGTTGTGGAGCCATAATATATATAATATATTACCTATATATATATAAAAATTCGTAATTATTACAACACAATAGGCACAATAAATTATTAAATTTAAATGCGGGAACAACACAAGTTCACTATACGTAGAAGGTAGAACGTTTGACGTGATACCGAAGACTGATAATTATCAATTCTATAAATTGTATACGCTATGAAACATTAAATTATCGGTATTCGGCTATCGCTATATCCGAAATTTCCGACAATTATTTATTTTTAGTTATTCATGCATGACAACAATAAATTCGAGACTAATTTTAAGAAACATATCCATGTCCCGGATGGTAGTTGAAAAAATCGGGACTGTGTAATGCAAACCGGTAGTGTCCCGGCGAAATCGGGACGAATGGCAACCCTAGCGGTAAGTGGATGTCGCTCTGCTGTACATTAGGTGTTTAGGAGGTCGCTGTCATGGATGGTATTAAATTTAAATTCAATCATATCATATCATTGCAAACGAAAAACGATTCTGAGCGGAGACGGTATGTCAGTCTAGGATATTTTGTATTATTATTACTTATTATTAACATGGTAGACGGTAAGTTGAATTAATATTATTCTTAAATTATCAGTGATGCTGGAAAAATATTATGTATAATTATGAAAAATTGGGCTGTTTTGGAACCGAATACAACAAAATGATACTATCCAAATTTGAACTGTATCTGTAAAAAATAACTGTATTCATATTTTTTTAAATTTTTTTAGTTATTAAAATTAACTCAAGTGGAACCTTGCTTTACATTTTCAATCCTTATCTATATAAAAATTGAAAAATGTATACATTTTTAACTAAAAAATCATTTTCAATTTGATAAATATTGTCAACATTTGAACTTTAAATGCTTATGAAAAAAAATCGTACCTACGTATTTTTCATACTTTTCAACTGCTATTGTACTAAGTTATCGAGTCTTGTATTAAAATTTCATGGTTTTTAACCCAAGCAATAACATTTTATTGACTTTTATCGAAAAAAAAATGAAAATTGAAAATGTCAGTCTACAGCTTAAAACGAGTCAAAATATTTTGATTTTGAAATGTTATTAAGTATATGAATTGATGAAATAAACATTTGGTGTAAATTTCAAGTGTCTACAGTAATTAGTTTTTGAATTACAACAAAATAAGAAAATCGTTACAAGAGAAATCGAGTAAATATTCAATATTGTAAAAATTGAATTTGATATCCGAAGGAAATTTTTATTTTATAAAGATAGACAAACTTATAAGGAATCTTGTATTACATTTTTAAATCTTAGATATAAATAGAAAATTTTTTATGAATTTCTAACTAATTATAATTTGATAATTTTCGTAATTTTTACGAATTTTGTCAAAATTTTAAGTTTAAACACTCAATAAAAATTATTGTGGATTTACGTTCAACTTTTTTTTAAATTTCTATTAACAACAACTTACAAAGAACCATGTATTACATTTTTTGGGTTTTTGACCGAGCGAAAATTTTTGTATCGATTTGAGTTTGGAAAAAAACAAATAATAATAGAAAATTTAATATGCCTATAATTAGTTAAACACAAATAAAAATATTTTGAAAATTGTATGGTGTATAGAAAATGCTTACACAAATATTCAGTGAAATTTTCAGGTATCTACCTTTGTTTGTTTTTCCTGTTGTTTTTTGAAAACTATTGGGAATTTTAAATTTTGACCTCCTGAATGTACCAACTAGATTCACTTTCCTACCAGAAAATCTGCTATTGAAGAAAATCGAAGCACTTTTACTGCAAGAAATCGTGATGACAGACACGAAAAAAATAAATAAATAAATAAATAAATATATACACATCATTGTAAAATCAATACATTCATTTCCGCTCAGAATTTAGAATCATAAAACAAGTTGAGTTCTTTAAATTATCAAGTTTATTAAAGAATTATGACTAGTCATTAGTAGTGAATGACTCTAATGTAAATTCTGGGGCCAACAAATTTATTGAAATTTTTAAAAAAGGAGGAAAATAATTGTTCTTCAGAAAAAAAAATTTCATCATAAACCAAAAAAATTAAAATCCCGGGCAACAACTGCAATTATTACATCGATTTGTCGTAGAGATAAATTATATTTAACTATTTAAAAAAGCATCCATTAAATGAAAAACTTAAACAACACTATTACTAGCATAATTACCAAATATAGGTAGGTACACGTTAATACTAACACGATAAAAGAAACTAAAACTAAATATTGCAAATTGAACTAGAATAAACGGGAGATTATTCAAAACTGAATTGGAAATGTATTAAAATTTTGACAAACCGTTCTAAAACAAATTCCCTTATACGAATTATTATTTATTATCCACTTATTATAAAAGAATAAATACATTTACATTTTACAGTTTACCTACATTATTTTTTTGGGAGCTTTAGAGGAATTATACTAGTCGATTATCATCATCATTATCTTTAACTATTGTCTACTGCCCGTGGTGACACCAGCTGGTATTACAATCTTAGTACATTATTGATAAAAAAAATTTAGCCAATTTATATAATAATTGTTCATTAACAGAATATAAAAAACTGATGCCGCCCGGAGCGATCGCCCACTCTAGTCCCCTCCTAAACCACCACTGCGGCAAAGTGTAAGAACCACTCTATAAAAAATTAAAAACAGCAGTTCGAAGACAACTGTCGTAATTATTAAGAGCGTCGGCGTTGTAAACATTGACTGAAGCCGCATAAGACTAGCGGTTGACAGGTGGTCATGTGGACGATTGTGGACTCAAACTCAATGATATTATTGTTATTATAAAAAAAAATGCAGCTGAAACTAATAGGTACATCTCTCGGTTCCTCGCTTTCGGCCAGAATCAATATTATGTTGATTGATTACAATTAATATAATATACGACTAATTTTTAAGATAATACATGAATAAGTTATCTTATTAAATTAACCAATTTAATAACATTGGTTAAATTTATAAATCCACCTCCACCCATGAAGACAAATATGAAATTTGCTTTAAGCTGGCACTCGCTTATATATTCCATAATGTATAGCCGTATAGGTCTAACATTATCAAACAATTAATATATTTTATAGTATCTAGAATTCTAGAATATAGGGGGCAGTGGAATACAATGCACCAGTCAGGTTTCCTGGCTTTGGTTCTCATGGAAATAAATATTAATATATATAAAAGCGCGTGTATTACCGGTTGTCAATACAACAAAAATGTCTAATACATTTAGTCGTATTTTAATTTTGAAATACTATTTGAATTACTGAGAGGTTTGACAGACAATATTACATAATAGTTCCAAATTAAACCGAAATGCCATATTTTCCGATAAACAAGTGTTTACCGGCGACCGTGGACATACGTTTGCAGCACAGATATTCAGACGTTGGAACGGAGCTTTCGCGTACAACACATTTCAATAAAATAGAAGTGCTCCGATTGTTACAGATGCATTACATGCTGACAAAAGACAATACGATACCCATGGACAAGTTAAGTTTCATACAGTTCATGGACGTTTTTTTAGGGGTAAGGAACGTAGATGCCGTGGATAAAATTTACCTGCTTTGTTCCGAAACGAACAAGGAACACTTGACTGGGGCCGAGTTCGTCAAGGTATTGTCGATGCTGTTGAAAGGAACCCTAGCCGACTTGATTAACTTTTGCTTCGAAGTCTACACGGAGATGATCAGGTCGCCGAGATACATCAAAAAAGAGGACGTGCTACTGATGGCCAGAAAAAACAGCATGAAAATGTGTAAATTAGTCAATATGGAGGAGTACGATCAGAGTTTCGTCGATTTCGTCATGACCGAGGTGGACAATGATCGCGACAACAGGATTTCGCTGGAAGACTACCGTAAAGCTGTGCACGAAAATGTCGCTTGGTTGCAGTTCTTGGGGCAGATCCTTCCGGATTGCACAAAAAAGGAGTCATTTACGCGGTTATTTACGGATCGACCATACGTCAATAATATTGAAACCACAGCTGCAGCAATGACTCGGAAAAACAGGGAGAGTATCGCCAAAATGAACTTGCTGAAATCGACAGTAAGCCCAACCGATATCACCGGCAGTAGTGCGTCATTTTCCAGTAATTCTACTTTTTTGGTGGTTAAAAACGACCCAAATCATTTGGCTAAAGCGAATCAATTAATAGCAGATGGAAATTATTTAACATTATTTTAAGAAACTATAGATGTGTGTGGTATATTATAATATACAAATAATAAATGTGAGTAATAATAGTAGTAATAAACCGTACTGTTTTTTACGTCTATTTATTATTTATCAATTTATCATACTTGATATTATATACCTACGTAATAGACGATCAGTATCGTGTAATTAATTTTATTCTACTACCTGCGCAATTTTATTGTTCAAATTTGAAATTTCCGAGGGTTTTTTTATTGTGTGCACAACAAATATGTACATTTTTAATAATTTATTTTACACGAAAATATATAAGCACATTTCCTATATTATTCAATTACTGATTTGAAGAATTGCCACAATAAGTATATTTCCAAGTTCCAGTTGCAACTTCTAGTAACGATAGATCATACATCGCATTCTCTACTCTGGAAATGTACTTAATTATTATAGCTCAAAATGTATACAGTTTTCACTAGATTAAAGTTAATTAACGTGATCTATTTTCAATTAAACGTTATCTAATTTTATTACTTTGAATTTGAAAAAAAATGTTGATTCAATATAATGACTAATAAGTACCTACTATTATGGATCGATTAGATGATCGTACGAAGCACTTACAGTGTTCTCTACTATGGAACATTTTTAGTTTTTATCTATTATACAAATAAAAGAAGTGTTTCGTTCAATCATCCAAAGCAAATAGATTATATGTGCTTTTTATGATACATTTTTTTTCGAAATTAAAATATTATATAACTGTATAAAACTATAAAACGATTAGGCATACAACTGAGAAATTACTAATTACACGGAATTATTCAGTAATTTAAAATTAAGTTTACGTTTATCGCTTTAATGATAATACGAGTGCATCATGTGCGTGCGAGAACAAACCCGCAGACTGATAGTCATAATCTATATTTTTTGTATAATATAATATAACAACCAATAATCTAGTACTGGAATAGAGCTTAATCGCTACGCAGATACGTTTCTGGACAGCCTATAATATTTCCTAATCCAACGATGTTATTATGTTATCAGAATCAAAATTAATAAGAATATAATAATTTGTCAGTTGACAGTTTCCATTAGTTGGTAGAAGAGGCGCCTTAAAAAACCTATACATGTATTCGCAGCAAAAATATCAAAAATGCAAAAGCTGAGCGCTTTATATACGTAGCCGATTTTTGTATGACTGTATTGTTTAATTTTTTTATTTTAACCTAATTTTTTAAGCGAAAATTCTTGCTTATTTCTTCCAACTTAGAGATAAGATTTTGAATTTGAATGCTGATTTTAGTAGGCACATGCATTTACAAATGTCTACGTACAGGCCACGTTCGTAGTGAAAGGCGATAAAAACGTTTTTATAATAATGCAAAGTATTATGTAATTAATAAGTACATTTGTATTAAATTAGAACTTAAATAATATACGTAATTACGTAAATATAGCAGCCATAGCTATAATATATCATACATTTTAAAAATATTTTGTCATATTTTAACCCTCAGCTACGAGTCTGTGACTATTAAAATAAATAGGGGTAAAATACTTATTGGCTATTGCAGCTATATTATTATGCTATATTAAGGTTGTAAACCTGTTGCTGTCCTCCCCGATATTTATTAAAAAGTAGACAATCATAGCAACATTGACTACTTGTATAAAAAATGATGGTACATTTTCATTAAAATATTTGTAAAAATGTTGACCACCTCCTTGAAATTTGTTTTTAGTATAGGCCTTACCAGTTACCGCGGCATATACTATACAACTGCTGAACTGCAGCACATTTATAGAATTTGAAACATTTATTAATATTTATTGCTGCAGACTGTCGCGGAGGTCACATCAGACATTAGTACCAATGACGCTGGTCTGTATATATGTATTGATTAGGACGTATTTCACTAAAGATGTTATTAATTTCCATGCCTATTTTATGTAACGGCCGTGAATAAAATAATGATAAATGTTCCTTCTAAATACCTAATTGGCCGTTCTGAACTCTGATAATATCTCCGCGGCTTCTTGTTAATCTCATGTTATATTATTCAATGTTAAATTGCCTGTAATCGTACACGTTTTTTTTTTTAATCTCACAATCATTATTTTTGTGATAACAAACCGTTTCCTAAAATATACTAGACGGTCGGGCACATTCCCAAAAAAGAAATAAAAAATTCTTTTCTAATGCATTTGCTTATCGATAATGCGTCTTCATATCTGTCCGTACATTATTAACTCAGACCTCATTTTTTTTTTTTTTTTTTTTTTTATATATATATTTGTAAGTATATATTGTAACTAATTAAATACGTTGTGTTGCGTTGCGCAATATTAATTAATGAGATTAACAATATTATATAATAAATGTACCTATGTGTACCCATATATATATATGTATATCAATATCTAAGAGTTATTTGAACTATACACACGGCATGCACAATACTGTAATTGGTAGATAGGATACCTTTAATTTAGTATTATTTATTACTAAGCATTTATTCGTACATGATAATATTATATTTTAGGTATTTGCCTACATTTATACACCAGCTGTATTAAAAACTACAAAAAATTATGACCATTGGGTATGAATTATTTGGGGTTCGAATATTATTTTGGTTATAACTTATAACTGTAGATACCTTACTCACCTTTATCGCGTAGGCAATAATATTTATATTTTTACTACTATTATAAAGTTTTCTTGATCTAAACTCAGTTTAGGATACTACAAAAGATAATTGCTATTATTGTTGTCAATAATATTAATATTATAATAATATTGTACCTACTATAATTATTATAGTGCGTATACACATGTTTTGGTTCATACCTAGCTCTGAATAATTATATGCTGGGACGTAAGTACCTATATATGTATAACAGTAATATGTAGTCAAGTGAAAAGTATATAATAAAATTGTAGATTTATACTAATTACTAGTTGTATTTTTAGAAGTCAAATAGATAGATTGTGCAACAGGTGTGTTCTTATATTACCGCTCATTTTCCCGGGAATACGAGTTTAGTCAATCGTATTATTTACTGTATAAATATTGATCAGGCCCAATTCTAACGAGACCCATTCATTCATGTTTATTTCTATCGAAATAAATGTCCTGGATAGTTTGCGCCGGTCATCGCTTCCCGGCTACCAGTTTCCCTAAGAGTATTTTCCCTCGACAGTATTATTTTCCAAAACGTAAGTCATGTGTGTAGTACATTTGGTTTAAATTGCTCCAGGCGTTCCAGAGCTATGCTGACACACAAACTTCCATTTGTCCAATAACAATAATATAATAATTACATCTTACAGCTATATTAGTGGTGTACATTATAAATTTAAAAAAAAAAAAATCGCGTGACGATAGGACGATAAGCGGTTCCAGGTCTAGCCCGTCCGAAAACTACAAAAGTACACAGTTCAGTCTTGTATATAATATAATATTATATCATATTATGTAGATCAGTATAATATATATGATACATCATACCTACATTATACTCGGTTAAAATAAAAATGCACGTCCGGACCGATAATAATAAACACACGATGGATTTTTAATTTGAATATGAGCAGTACATTTTGGACCAATTGTGTTAGATGTCAACGGCCGATTAATACATTTTGCGTGTTGCGCTGCTGTCTATTAATGATGCATTGTACCTACACGAATTCATTCATGTTTACTTCCGGATTGTGCGGAAGCCATTCAAAACGAATAGCGGAGGGCTACTGATATGTAAAATAAAAAATTTCATTTCATTTCCTATCACAAAATATAAAACGAATAAATGACCGTTGTTTGTTCGTCCGAGATTCATTATTACACAGTCGCACTCCAGAAGACTGTGCCGTGGGTCCAGTCCAACGCAATCGCACCTAATATTATTTCAGTTATAATTTTTTTTATTCGTCGATCGAAGAATTCAGTCGATACACGTTTCATCTGCAGGTAACAATAATAATCACATCATGTAATGTTTTATTTTAATATAATATTTAAGTGTAACTGTGTCAGTATTATAGTATACAGAGTACTGCAGACAGTAGGTTCCTTAATATGTACCTATATTCTTATAATTTATTGACTATAAATACCTATACTATAGTGATTTGCGGACATATTTATCTACTTAATGTTATTATACTATCTGAAGCTGTGAATTTAATGCACTAAAAAACACTACTAATTGCATTCAAATCGATATACAAAAAAATATCAAAATTTAAAAACTAAAAAAAAACTATCAAGTATAAAATATTTTGAAATAAATATATTAATAATTAAGTAGATACAGCGTATATGTATACTGTAAACAGAAAGTGTAAGATATTTAAAATACGAAAATTAAAAAAAAAAAATTACAAATACATATTTTTAAAATGCATAGGTAATATTTAACTTATTATTGTTATTAACATTATTCTAGCTGCATGTTGCTCAAATATTAATATTTATTACGCAACTATTTTAATTAGAACTGTTGGTTTCAAAAATACATTTAAAAAAAGGCTATCTACCAATGGTAAAAACGAACCCAATTTGGAATAATGACCAAAATGTTTAATATAGTTGAGTGGGTGGTTTTCTTTTTAATAATTTTAAAGGTGGGTAGCAATTATATATTTTTAAATTAACTCAGATCAAGTATAATAAATAAATCCTCTTCATATATTATTATATACGCCCCCGAGGACGGAGTCATATATATATATAAAGACTAGGTACAATAATTAACGACGCATCCGATTGCGTGCGGCAGATGAATCATAACAACCGAATAATAATTGTTGCATGCATGATTTATTTTTGATGCGTCCGAGTAGCTTGCGGCATTAATGATAACTACGGCCTCACATATTATTATCATTTATCACGGGTTGTTACTTTGTTCACTTTATCGTGGGTATAGGTACCTTTTTGAAATTGTATAGGATGAACATATTGACATGATATTGAATGGGTACCCTACGTGTGAAACAAAAAAAAAAACGCCGATAATAGCAGTAGACA